TTTACTGTCGGTTCTGTGGCCATGGCTTGGGCGTGGCATGGCTTGATGGGTGTGGCTTGGTGGGCATGGCAGGGGAAGGATACTGTAAAATCTCCATTCCCACCCCACTCCAGGGGAAGGTTACTGTAAAATCCCCATTTCCTCCCAATCACCTGGGACTCGGGAGGCAGAGAATAGATGGGGGCAGGGCAGGGGTGAAATGTAAAATTTGTTACTACCGGTTCTGTGGGCATGGCTTGGTGGGGGGGTAATGTGACTGGGTGGGCGTGGCCAACTTTTTTTTTTTTAACTTTTTAAAGCATTTTTTCTAATGCTTTGAAAAGCCTCTGCCGATTAGGCAACTCAGCTGGGATCGTCAGAGAGGCTTTTTAAAAAATGCTTTGAAAAGCCTCTCTGCCGATCAAACAACTCAGCTGGGATCGTTAGAAACTTTTCAAAGCATTTTTTTACCACCTCTTTGGCCAAGAGGTTGCAGAAAAAAATGCTTTGAAAAGCCTCTGACGATCCCAGCTGAGCGGTGCGATCATCAGAGGCTTTTTTTTTTTTTTACTTTTAAAAGCATTTTTTCGTCGGAAGAGGTTGTAGAAAAAATGCTTTTAAAAGTAAAAAAAAAAAAAGCCTCTGATGATCGCACCGCTCAGCTGGGCATGGGGGGGGGCAGGGATTTTTGCTACCGGTTCTCTGAACCACCCGCCGCCATCACTACCAGATTGGGTGATCTGGTCCGAACCGGGACCATTTCACCCCTTGGGCAGGGCCAGTCAGGTGGTATTTATCAGTTCTCTGAACTACTCAAAATTTCTACTACCAGTTCTCCAGAACTGGTCAGAACCTGCTGAATACTACCTCTGCAACTGGATTATTCTTTGGGAACCAATGATTTATAGTAGTGATAGTATAACAATTTTGTGAGGGAAAAATAAGGAAGACAGTTTTTGTACTGCTGGACTCTTAGCTACTCTTGATAGTATTGACCATGATATTTTCCCTAGGCTGCTCCTATGAGTTGAAGATTGGAGACATTGCATTACAATAGTTCCAATCAAACTGAAACAGGATTGTGTACTTTACCTTGGAAGTTGGCTGTGGCCTCCAAAGTGCACTTTAACATCTGACCCAATGCTCTTTAACATCTATATGATGTCCCTAGGGATGATCATCAGAGAGTTTTGGGATGGTTTTTTTTTTGTGCTGATAATATTTTATTAAGATGAGGTTATTCATATTCTGAAACACTTTGATTCTGTAATGGGTTAGATGAAATTCAATAATCCAGTGCTGAATCCTGAGACAACAGTAATCTTCTCTGTGGTTCCCAAGTACAAGAATTTGAAGATCTTTATTTCAATAGAAGAGAATATATATATTCAGGGTTGAACTATGGGATCCTTTGTGTCTCTGAGTTGTATCGTTTACTTGCAGACATTCCATTACCAAACTAGGTAACCTCATCAGCACCTAGTTAAGTAACGAAACGTCAGCAAGCAAACAACTAAGTTCAAACAGCACCAAGGACTCCAGAATGTTTTTTGTGTTCAGAATAGAGTGGTGACGCTTCAGAAAGAACAGGAAAGTACTTTTGGGAAGCCTCTAGAGCAGTGGTTCTCAACTTGGAGGTCGCGACCTCTTTGGGGGTCGAACGGCCATTTCACAGGGGTCGCCAAAGCCCTCTCTCGCCGCCTCCCCCCCACACCTTCACTCACCCTCTGCCTCTGTTGGATCGTCGTTCGCCGTTCACTTACCCTGCCCACTCCCAATCTATTGCTGCCTCCGGAGTCCCAGCTGATGGCTAGAGGGAAACAAACCGTTTAAATTCTTGCCGCAGGGCTTCAAAGGGCCGCCCTACAGCTGATCAGTGTTAAAAGAAAACAGATGAGAAGACCGGTGCCTGCAAAAATAGAAAAAAACAGCCCCTTTCAGCTTCAGCATAGGTTAATTACCATAAGTTGATTTGAACAGCCTCCAGACTCTCAGCTGATTTGCTCTCAGCTGTTTTGCGCAGGGCTCTGTTGCTAGCTGCAAAGAGAGGAGCAGATTTTTTTCCCCCTAGCTATGCTGAAAAAATGAAACTGAAAGTAAAGCAGGGTCTTTGCTGCAACGTGACAAAATGAGGCAGAGAGAGATTTCTTTTTCTTTTTCCTCACCAAAAAAGGTAGGTGCAAAACTGCAAACAATGGGAAATTTAGGGCAAAAGAGGAGGTTCAAGATTTTAAAACACAAAAGAAAAAAAGCTCTATTTAACTAGGGAATTGTAATAATTGAAATACTATTAATTGTATATTGTGTTGAAAGCAGAAATGGTTAAGTTGTGGTTTGGAGGAATATATGGGGGAAATTATTTGGTTTATTATTATTGGTAAATATAATTAATTGATTTGTAAGAAATTGGATGGCATGGAAATAATTGGAATATTCATGTTCATATTGATTGATATACAAAAAAGATAGTTATATAACTAATTGATTTATATTAAATGTTGAATTTGTATTAAACAACTGTATTACATAATTACATAATTAACCAATGTGAGGATGCATATAAAAATAGATGACAATGGGAAGGGGTATAATATAGAATAGAAGAGAAAAATTGAATTTGATTAAGATTAGAGATGAGGATGAAGGTTAATATTGGTTTTTTAAAAAAATTGATGAGGAATAAATATGGCAAAAAGAAAATATAGAAATTGTAAATTTAATTGAAATGACTAAACACTGGTTAAATTTGTGAACCGGCCAAATATTCTGTTCAAAGAAAGTACATTGTATGTTTGTATGTGTGTTTCTAATTATTGCTATTTATTCATATTTGTTCTCTTTTATTCTTTAAAGCTTAACAATTCATTCTTTATCTTAATATCTTTATATTTGTTTGGGGTTGGTTTTCTTCCCTTTCATCTTTTTTATTGTACAGTAATCTTTCTCCTCAAACCTACCACCTCTCTCTTTTCTTTCCTTCTTACTTTCTCTTCCTCCCCCTCTTCTTCTCCTTCCTACTTCCTCTTCCTTTCTCCTCCTCCTCTCTTCCTCCCTCTCTTACCCTCACTCCTACTCTAATTTCCCTTCCCTTCCTTCATCCTCTCTATTGCTGTATCCTTTTATGCATATGGACTACTCAGAGGGCTGAGAAAGTTATTTTTGACTGGTCCTCGCACTTTTGACCAGTCCCTGAACTTACAACTGTCCTCACATTTTACATTTTTGCCCTATCTTGTCACCATGGTGAAGAGAAGCAGTTGTGAAATGAGTGACACGGTTGTTAAGAATGCTACAATGGGCATGATGACCAGTCATAAGTGCGAAGACCGGTCAAAAGTGCGAGGACCTGTCAGAAATCACTTTTTTCAGCCCTCTGGGTAGTCCTTTTGTGCACAGGGACTACTCAGAGGGCTGAAAAAGTTATTTTTGACTGATCCTCGCACTTTTGACCAGTCCTTGAATTTACGACTGTCTTCACATTTTACGTTTTTTGCCCTATCTTATACCATGTTGAAGAGAAGCAGTCGTGAAATGAGTGACATGGTTGTTAAGAATGCTGCACAGGCATAAATGTGAGGATGGTCATAAGTGTGAGGACTGGTCAAAAGTGGGAGGACCTGTCAGAAATGACTTTTTTCAGCCCTCTGAGTAGTCCCTATACACATAGCCGTGGCCACCTGGTCACGTGACCAGCTAGCCATGCCCACCCAGTCACATGACCTCCAAGCCACACCCACAAAATAAGCCACGCTCACAGAACCGGTAGTAAAAAAAATTTAGAACCCACCCCTGGTTGGGGGTCACCACAACATGAGGAACTGTATTAAAGGGTCGCGGCATTAGAAAGGTTGAGAACCACTGGGTTAGATGAAATTCAATAATCCAGTGTTGAATCCTGAAACAACAGTAATCTTCTCTGTGGTTCCCAAGTACAAGAATTTGAAGATCTTTATTTCAATAGAAGAGAATATATATATTCAGGGTTGAACTATGGGATCCTTTGTGTCTCTGTGTTGTATCGTTTACTTGCAGACATTCCATTACCAAACTAGGTAACCTCATCAGCACCTAGTTAAGTAACGAAACATCAGCCAGCAAACAACTAAGTTCAAACAGCACCAAGGACTCCAGAATGATTTTTGTGTTCAGAATAGAGTGGCAATGCTTCAGAAAGAACAGGAAAATACTTTTGGGAAGCCTCTAGTCTAGAGTTATTATAGATTTCAGAGGCCCAAGTAATCTTGTGCACAGGAACATCCATTATCAAAATTAGTTGGAATGCTAATTACATAGTCTCTTAGATATAATAACAGCTGTTCTATTATTGAACACACACTGATAGCTTCATTAGATTAGATAACATTCTACGTGGGGCTTCCTTGTGCTTGCCTAGAAAGTGCAGAATGTATCAGCATTCTGAGTGGGATATCCCATCATACACACAATGAGTGTCAATTTATCAAGCCACGTTCCTGCTTCTGACACTAAACAAATCAGCACCAGGATATTTAATATCCTGTTACAAATCTGAACAATCACCACGATCATCAGAAGGTCTATGTATCGTCACTGACAATGTCATCTTGTAGTTACAAAAGCAACTGGCAGCTGCACTCTAGAAGGCTCCTTTTCTTCCTCTCTCCCCCAGCCCCCCAATCTGTGACACCTGTTAATGTGTCTTTTAGATGCCTGTTGAAGACTTAATTCTTCCCCCGGGGTTTCTTTGAATGAAAATGTTATGATTAGCTGGTTTTGTTTATGTTTTTCCTTTTCTTCCCCACCATCTCTTTTATTGAGTAGGCTTTTATTTTACCATGCATTTTTTATTTTTACTCATAAATAGTTTTAACATTTGACAACATAAAAAGCAGAATTAAATAAACAATAAGTGAATGATAAACTTTTACTGATTTTTTGGCAGCAAGGATATTTTTGGAGGTTTTAACTGAAACGATTGTGTCTTAAAACCACTTCTTCTGCATTTCTAATGTTTGCAATATTTCTTCACTATTGTCTTCCAGATAAAAATAAATAAAGAGCTCAGTAGCCTATACAAGAGAATGTTTGAACCACTCCATGTTCCTCCAGAGCTATTCCAAAGATTGACAGGACAGTTCTGCAATATTCAGACTCTAAAAACAGGTCAAACATATGCTGCAGAAGATAAAACGTCAGTGGATGAACGATTAAGTATTCTACTAAAAGGAAAGTATGTACCTGAAATAACTGGATCTGGATCTCCCCTTTATATAGTTGGACTGTATGAAAAATGCACACTCAATATGAAAGAGATAGGTATGCTACCAGATCTGGTCTGCACAAATCCAGAAAACCACTAGATGGCAGCAAGGAACTTTCAGTATAGTTTTGCTACCAATTTGTGCTCATCTGGATTTTTATAGCTCAGGTATGATAGACCTAAAAATAAGCTAGTTAATCAAAAATCTACACCATCACCACCCATCCCTGGACAGGAGAGCTCTTTCTAGCTAATGGAAGAATTCTGCTGTAGAAGTTGCCTCACTAATTCTCCTTTCCTTCTACATTCATCCAAAATTGAATCCAAAAATTTGGAGAATCCCCTGAATTATGGAAATAGCACTAGATGCTAAAGGGGATAAATAGAATTAGTGAAGATTCTTTCCTTTTCTTTTTCTCTGGCATATAATCATAGAAACAGTAGTCTGTTTAGGGCATGCCTAAGGATTTTTTTTTTAGGGAACTAAGTTAGATCCAGTCCTGTACCTTCTTTTTACGTCATTAGGTTTGGTCTTGGAATTTCCTGGTGATTTGCAGCACTAACAGATCTAACCCTCCTTAGTGTTTTGGAAGATCAGCCCTTGTCAGCTGCTATCTTCTGTTAACTCCTATTCAAAGTTTTATTCATATCTCTCAGTTGTTACTTACATTTGTTACTTATTTCAAACAATGTGGTTCTAGGAAAATTAGATTGTTGATAGATTCTCTGTTAAATGTCCAAGGTCTTGGGAATTGTGTGTTTAAGAAATGTATTTCTTTAAACCTTAAAAAAGTTTGCGACAATGCTCAAGTTTGATTCATGATTAATTTCCTCTTGTTACAGTGAACCAGAGAGCAATCTTAGGCTTTCGTAAATTCCTGGTAGCTTATTTATTTACTTACTTCATGTAGAGAAATTGCCTTAGTTATTAGGTAACAGGAAAGCTTCAATTAATCCCATCCATGTTGGTGACATTGAGATTGAGAAACTAATATTGGGAGCATCACTACTTCTTCCAGTCCCAACCTCTGGAGGTTTTTTTCCTCCAGCAGGATCAAGGAATAAGCCCTATCCACAACTAAAAACAGAAGCTTGGCAAGGATCTTAAAGTCCAAACTGAAGCAGAACAATACAGATTCCTTCTTCTTTCTTCTGCTCATGATCTGCCAATTTATAACTTTCTCCCTCATTTGCTCTTTCTCCCAATGCAGCTATCCATAATGCTACATTACATCTGCACTGATGTTAATGCATCATTAATTGTAACAGGGAGTTGCAAATTATATTTTCAGCGTGCTTAGCTTAATATTGGTTAGTAATGATTCGTGATGGATGATAGCAAACAATATAAATGTACCATGTACCAAGAGGGAATTAATGCAAGTAAGAGGGAAGGATGGGGAGGAAATACCTAAGTGTAAGATATGATTCAGCAGCGGATTGCATTTGCATCATGCCTCTTGGAGAATAGCTTAACTGTAGGGGTTCCAGAATTTTAACTAGCAAAACAACAATTAAGTTGTTTTCTATGATAACAGAAGTTGTGTGAATTTACATGTTTGTAAACAATTGTACTCTATTAGAAATTAGAACCTGCTATGTTGCCTATATTATCAATTGTTGTAATACTTATTTTCATCATCAGAATGAAGGTCTCCTATAGAGGACATTTTCTGCATAATATTTACCCATGTGCCTTTATAGATTCTCCTGAATATCGATCAACTCAGATGAATCGGGATGAGAAATTCCAGGTATGAAATCAGCAGTTTCTTTAGGAATGATTATAATTATCATGGAGATTCTTCAGTGAAGAAAATTGAAGAGCTGTGAATTTACAATCTGTTGTCTGATGCATTATATAGCTTTTAAAACTGCTATTATTGGAACATAAAATAATTCCCAATGTGAAATATTATGGTTGTGTTATTGGGGAGATTTAAAATGATATTTTTTCATACACCAGATAAGTGGTTGAAGATTAACAATTACTTTGCTAGACTTTATTGAGAAAAACCAAATTATACTATGCTATTTTACAATTGGAACTATAATTTGAAAATAATCACTTTAACCTGATCAACTAGAGTCTTGTTTGCTATTGGTAGAAGATCCATTAGTAATTCAAGCTATTCTGTAACAACTGAAAACAGGACAACTTGGAGAACAGTTCAGAAAAGGCTGATAGATACTTTATTTAAAGATCTTTTTGTTCAATGCAAGGGAATCTAAGAGAAAGAAACCCTTTTCTTCACTACAGGTTAAAGAACCATTATGAGGGGAATAAATTAATACAGCCTTCCTATGCTGCAGACAGACTAACCCTTAGTCACTAAGGGATGGAAAGATCTGTGGGAAAGAGTTCAGAAAATACAAGAATCTAAGATGCTGACAGATGGCAGTTTTAATGTCCTTTCAAAAATCTGCCAGATCTTTTTGGCAACGGATCATAACAATCAAGGAAATATTGGAATGTGTATATTCAAAAGGAAATGATGACTTCCAGGACTTTTTATTTGTAATTAGCCATTAAATTTCTAAAGTCCTTTTTAAAAAAGAACAAAAAATGATTGAAAATGATTGCTTGCCGTTGGTATGCCTTAAAGAGAGTTGGAAAAATAAGGTCTGCTACTCCAGCAAGTACCTAATGAGGGATCCCTGGAAATAAAAAAGTAATAGGCTACAAAAGTGGTGAGAGATCCCCGATTCCCAAAATGAAGCTCCAGCAAGTGAGTTTCAGATATTAAAAGATAAAGGTTCCCCTCGCACATATGTGCTAGTCATTCCTGAGTCTAGGGAGCGGTGCTCATCTCCGTTTCAAAGACGAAGAGCCAGCACTGTCCGAAGAAGTCTCCGTGGTCATGTGGCCAGCATGACTAAACGTCAAAGGCGCACAGAAGGTGGTCCCTATTTTTCTACTTGCATTTTTTACGTGCTTTCGAACTGCTAGGTTGGCAGAAGCTGGGACAAGTAATGGGAACTCACCCCATTACACGGCACTAGGGATTCGAACCGCTGAACTGCTGACCTTTTGATCGACAAGCTCAGCATCTTAGCCACAGCGTCCTTTTCATATTAATTAATTAATTAATTAATTAATTAATTAATTAATTAATATTAGTTGGAACCAATAAGCCAGATCTTTCCTATGCAGTTGCTTAGAGTTCCTTTTTTCCTTTCCTTTGCTTTTCTTTTTCAAAACGTGAGGGAGATAAAGATGGAATCATTGCAGGGCCTTTCAGTAGTAAAAGGCAATTTCTGCCTTGGAAGCCTGGTTCCTATGTCTGACCAGGAATGACTATGCAGTTGTTGGTTAACTTGATAGTAAAAGTGAAACTGAGCCTGGTACGGAATCTAAAATCAGTGACTTAGCGTAATATGTTCCACTCAAGAACTGGGCTTAATGCCATAGAAAGCTTGTTGTCATACTACAGTAATCACCGTACTAGAAGGCAAGTACAAGATATTTGTGCTGTTGCTCATACATTATCTATTTTGGGTTTTGCACATTGATTTATTCAGACTTGGAGAAAATACCATCTCTACCATATACTGAAAGAAAACATCTCAGACTTCCTATTCTGCACATTAATTTAAATTTAATCAAAAGAAGAACAAGGCAGGAATAGGAGTACTGAATTTATTTGTCAAGGGGACTGAAATCCACACATTGTTTTGTGCTCAACTCTACATTTTTAACCACAAGTTTCTTGAATTCTGTTTATTTAATATTTACTTAATCTCTGTGCTTTTTTAATGAATGGAAAATGTTTTTAATTCACATTTCTAAAACATTTCTTTAAAAGTGTAACTATGCATTTAATGATACATAGACGACATTTACAAATAATTTATGGACCTCCCCACATGCTTAGATACTGCTTTTATTTTGTTTTTTGGAAAGAATATACTTATATTTTTTGTTTATGGATCGTTAGGTGAGAGTATTTGGCTTCCTTTTGTTCTTGTTAATACACTGGTGCCATCTGCTGGATTTAGATTTATGGAGATGCCCTGAACACAATCATTCGTAGCTGTCTTGCATATATAAATAGCGTTTAGATTGAATTTTATTCTGAGGCTGCAATCCTTGAAGCATTCAACTGAAGACAGTCCATCCCATGATATTGTTACTTCTGCTTACATGATTAGAGTTTATGCTGGATGAGACAAAGGAGGAGCAATATTCCTCTTGAAGAAAAGATCTGAGTTGCATATTATCAGACTACAGGTAGTCCTCGACTTATGACCACAATTGAGCCCAACATTTCTGTTAAATGAGACATTCGTTAAGTGAGTTTTGCCCCATTTCATGACCTTTCTTGCCACAGTTGTTAAGTGAATCACTGCAGTTGATAAGTTAGTAACCCGGTTAGTAACCCAGTTTACTAATAGTAAATCTGACTTCCCCATTGAGTTTGCTTGTCAGAAGGTTGCAAAAGATGATCACATGATCTTGGGATACTGCAACAGTCATAAATATGAACCAGTTGCCAAGTATCTAAATTTTGGTCACATGATCATGGGGATGCTGCGACAGTTGTAAGTGTGAAAAAAGGTCATAAGTCACATTTTTCAAGGTCGTTGTAACTTTGAACAGTCACTAAGCAAACTGTTGTAACTCGAGGACTACCTGTATATGGCCATTTCAGAACGGGTCCCTCAGAGATGGGCTGCATCAATCTAGACAAGGGCAGCCAAGAGATACACACATATTAACACTCTGCTGACAGCTGGTAGTGATATGGCAGTGCAAATATGGAAGCTGTATTTCAGAACTATGGAATGATAAAGGATGTTTTGTAATATCCCCAAAAGTAAGGGATAATGGGATAATGGAATTGTTTAACACCCTTGCCTTATACTCTTCTTAAAATAATTAGAGGAAAATTATGGTGGTTATTCCGCTTCTGATTCAACTTTTCCATTTTCTTTCATTTTAACTACAACCAGTTAAACTTTTTCCGCAAAAATGATTTACAGCACTGGAGTGTTGAGTGCGCTGTTCAATGTTACATACTGTAATTAAAGCTTGCCTGTTTGAATCGTTGATACCGACTCTCATGTTTCTTTAATTCCTCCTTTGCAATATCTTTGTTTACAGGGTTTTAAAAACCTAAATGAAGTAGAATAGAAAGCGAGGTTCTCAGTATAGTCAGAATACCATTTTCATCCTTGCTGAAATGAGAAAGCTCATAGAATAAAATATTTTTAATATGCTGATTCTGTAAACAGCTCAGAGAGGGCTGTAAAGTACTATGAAGCAGTATGTAAGTCTAAGTGCTGCTGCTATTAATCATTTGCTGAGATCTGAATTAAATATGCTGTAGTCATTGGGACAATTAAAATACTGTATTAATTATTGACCACACTTTCTTTATAGGTGTCAATTACTGCTGATGATAACTGCAAATTCTTATGTTGGTCCAGAGAGAGACTTGCATATTTTTTAGAATCAGAGCCATTTCTTTTTGAAATATTTAAGTATCTTATTGGAAAGGATATTACAAACAAGTTATACTCATTAAATGATCCAACCCTAAGTGATAAGGTAAGCATTTCCCTTTTGACTTCCATGCATTAATATAACTGTTTTATAGATGAGCTAAGTTGTGCTCCCTTCTAAAATGCACAACATCCTTTCCCACACAGCTTCTTAAAACACAATTGATTCAGGATGCCTATTTATAACTTTCTATTGAATGTGGTTTCTGTCAGTTATCTTAAATCCAAGAGAAAATAAATACGACCACTGGATGATGACAATTAAAAGTTTTTTGAGGAACTAAATTAACAACTACTAATAGTTGGAATGCTTAATTTATGTAATTCTGTTGTCATGCAGAACAACATTTAACAGTTATATTTTTGAAACTGTTTAATTATCAAACATCATTTGGTTTTGGGGATTGGATCAAGAACTCATCAAAACTCTGGAGGATTTTAAACTGTTCTGACATTTCACCTTTGTTCTATACTCATTAATATCTATATGGCCTTTTCCATCATAGGATATTTAGAGACATTGAATATATTTAGTGTTCTGCATGGCATTGGAACTCCCTTGCCATAAGCTGAACTGTATAAGTTTTAACATGCTTCCACTTCGATAGCTGATTATATATCTTAATGCAGCAATGCTCTTTTGAAAGTAAAGGCTTTCTTCACTATCAGAGAATTTGGTAGCTGAAGTTTTAAGCAATGATTCAAAGAAAAAGTATAAAAGAACCACTTTTGCATGACTGTGAAGAAAGCTACATGGGCACATCCATGAAGTCATAGGGCACCAAGTTCTTTACTCTTATAGTTCCATTGGGACAGATTTATCATACTTGATTGGGTCATACAAACTTACATAATGCCACAGTTAATCAGACTCTATGGCTCTCTATATGTATTTTTTCTCCTTCTAATCTAAACACATGCTGTTAGCATAAGTGTCTACTTGCTGTTTTAAATCTTCTACTCCTGATTTATATGTGAAAAGAAGAGAATGCAATAGAGAACAGCAGGCATAAAGCATAAAACAAACTAGCTAAACCTAAAATGTGTATTTTAAAGTCTTCTCCCTCAGGGGTGGGCTGCTGGGGGTTTGCAGGGGTTCAGGAGAACCTCTAGCTAAGATTCTGTGCAGTTCGGAGAACCCCCAAATCCCACTCCTGGCTGGTCCCACCCACTCCGTCCCTCTCCTCCCAGGAGTCCCCACGCGGGCCGTTTTGTATGCAGGGTGTGCACGGGGGCTTGGGGAGGGCGAAAAATGGGCCTGTCAGAAGTTTGGGAAGGCCAGAAACAGTCCATTTCTGGCCTCCAGAGGGCCTCCGGAGCCTGGAGAGGCCGTTTTCGCCTTCCCGGAGGCTCGAGGAAAGCCTCCGGAGTCCGGGAAGAGCAAAAAAGCCCCAACCACCATGATGCAGGAGGCTGACTAGGCCATGCCCACCATGGCCACACCTACCCAGCAACTGGGCAGAGAACCCCTTGCCAAAATTTTTGAAGCCCAACCTTGTTCTCCCTCCTATATGATTGTTTTTAAATATTATCCATCGGAATGCTCCTGCCCTTAGAGTTATCCTTGAACACTACTTTTAATAGCTATTTCTTCTCTCTTTTTTCTTCCCAGGAGTGACATGGCCAAACACTTGCTTTTGTATGTAAATTCCCCACAACCTAGGGGTCAGGGAATGAGAAAGTGACAGTTATATCTGTGCTGCACATCAAGAGATACTTATGTGGGCAAGTCCTTATCCAGTCACTTCCAGCTTACAGGTCTTCCTCACCTTAAATGCCTCTGCTCTGGCCTATAAATCTGCGGCAAAACTTGAATTATTTGGCTAGAAGTGGCCTGATTGCTTTTTAAGATTTTTTAATCCTAGCATCATTGGTGTAGAATAATTTGTGTAATTCAGCTCCCATTGCCTGCACCCCAAAATAGTAAAACTAGACTTCTTCTATTGAAGATCTCCTGTCCTATTGAGTCTTCTTCTAGTAATATTATATCTTAGCCCTGAGGAATTATATAGCATCAATATCTGTCTGTAGTTTTTGCTGAACATGACCAATATAGAGGGAAGCTGTCAGTTTAATGGAGACCAACAGGTTTCTACCCTGTTATATGTAAATTGCCACAGAGTTTTTATTTTTTTTCTCATAATTTAGTTGTCTAAGTTATAATTAGCAGATATTCTTTCATCCTATTCTACCTCTCGTCGGGTTGTTGGGATGGTAGCTGAGAAAATATGCTCTGAGCAATTTAGAAGAAATGATGGCAGGATATAAACATAAGAGATGAATATTTATTAGCATATAACACTGATGGCGAATTGTGCGGTTTTTATTTTCTGTGCAGACATCCCAAAAAATAGATCGCCAGCCCAGTCTGTGTTCCCAACAATCTGTGATGCAAATGAGGAATAGCATGGCAAGTTCAAGTGATAGTGAAGACGGATTACAACATTTTCTCCGTGGAACTTCTACTGCATCTACCCTTCGTGAGTCATTAACTAGTCAGTCAACATTTCCAGGCATCACTAAACATTGTAGTCAGTGGCCAAAATCATGTTGCTTTTGGGGAGAAGAGTTGGGAAGGGGAAAAGGGAGTCATCTAACAAGGTGCATCTGAATGCATCACTCCACTGCTTATATTAGGGCCAGTATTTGCATTCCTCTCACTCAGTAGTTACACTCAAACAGCTCTTTTTCCATGTGTGACTAACTATCATAAACCAAACATTGCAGGCCAATTTTTCATTTGAATGTCTCTTCATATATATTTCTTAATGTGGGGTAATTTCTGCACTTAACTGTTAGTTTTCATATATGGTGCTCAAGCCTTTGTGTCCCCGTTCTACTGAGAAACCACCCTGTTCGTGGTAGGAGAAGATGAACATACTATCAGATTACAGACATTTTTATTTTTAAAAAAACTATAGCACGTACGAGTATTTTGCATTAGTATAGATCTAAGAGTTTGGATATCTGCTAAACACTGTGACCTGCTTACAGGCAAGAATTTGCCCTCTGCATTCACCTCTGAAAGTGTGAATTTCACTACTTCATAGATTTTTATGGAAATTAAACCTCATCCAATATTCTCATTGTAAATCAGAGGTGCATAATCTTAGGCCTTTGGATAGTGTGAGCCTGAAACACCTTTAACCAGGTAAGCTCATAGAAAACTCCAAAACTGTTACTAAATTTTAATTTTTAATGTGGGAGAAGAGGGGAGACTAAAGATGTAATTGTGGAACTCTGTTCAATTTTAATTAAATGTAAAAGCCAATGATTTAAAATGGGAATCCACCTGGAGTGCAGTGCCCAGCAAGGCTAGGATGGTTTGTGACCAGAAAAGGGTCTGGGCCACTCCCTTATAGAAATTAGACCCCTTTCCTCCAACCAATCAGTGTTTCATGATGTCTTAAATTGCAAAAAAAAAAAAAAAAGTTGTTATGTATGATATAATCTTATGCATTTTTTTTTCAGAAGTTGGTTTCTTTATTTTCTGCACTAGGGAGCTAATTCTACACTAAAAATACATAGGACTAAAACTACTAATAAAAGCATGTGTGTATTTAATATTTATCGACGTAAATCTGATTCTTGTGTTTTTAAAAATAAACCAGTAAGGATTCACTTATGGAATGAATCCTTACGGACTGAATTTAAAGTATGTTTTTTGTCAACAGCATGACGTACTGTATTCATCAACATTGTCAAAAATGGTATGAAATGGACTGAATGTCACATACTTGAGTGAAATAATAGTTTGGGTTCTTCAGAATTAAAGATTGTATCAGCGTACAAAAGCTGTTTCCATCCTTCTGAGGTTGGTAAAATGAGAACCCAGATTGTTGGGGGGCAATATATTGACTGTAAACCACTTAGAGAAGGCCATAAAGCATTGTGAAGTGGTATATAAATGCTATTGCTATGTAGACTTGTATTCAACTGTAGAAATTCATAGAACAATTTATGCTGATTCCGTACATGATTTTAGGGTCACAATATTATGCTCATTTGCAATGTTAATTTTAGATTAGTAAGAATGCTGTAATTACTTATATTTACTGCAACTACATTAACACTCTTTGAAAAAAACCCTAGCTTTTCCCGATCTGGGGGAACTGCAGTTCCTAAAATTTCCAGATAGGAAAATTTTGGAGAGGGTATTCTAGAATATGTTGCCCATGCCTCACCTGACCACCTAAAATACAGTAGGTTGTGTTTTTTTCTGCTGCTGATATTTAAGTTGTACTTCAAAGACCCCAGAACTGTAACCATGTAGCTCACTAGCACCCCTTTGGTGGTATTTGGTGTTCCACAAGGTAACTGATTCTTAAACTCTTGAAACATTTTTCCATTTTGGGAATTCTGAAGGATTTGAAGGGGCAAAATGAAGCTTGAGGGGCCCACCCAGTGGTGAGTTGCTACCAGTTCTCCCTGGTTCTTGCGAACCAGTAGAAATTTTGAGTAGTTCAGAGAACCGGTAAATACCACTTCTGCTTGGCCCCGCCGCCAATCTATTCACTGCCTCCCGAGTCCCAGCTGATCGGCTAGAAGGAAAAAATCAGGGCTCACTTGACAAAGAAGACAGAAAAAAAAAAACCCTTAGCTTTAAATTGAGAAGCCAAAAACCTCCCAACTGATCGGCTAGAACCGATCCACTCCTTGTAAACCGCTGGTGGTGGTAGATTGGCAATTGAGTCCAAGTTGCCTGAAAGCGGTTTCCGATGCTCTCGGTGGTGGCAGAGAGGCCAAAACTGTTTAAACTCTTGCCACGGCGCTTTAAAGGGCCGCCCTACAGCTGATCAGTGGTAAAAGGCAGTGTGGTGGTAGACCAGTGCGCTCCAAAAACAAATGGGTAGACCGGTACGGCTCAGCAAGCAGTTAAAAGCCTGGTAGAACAGTACCTCTGCTAAATCCTAAAGAAGTGTTTGTCACATGACCATCAAACTACGCCCACAAAATAAGCCACTCCCATAGAACCGGTAGTAAAAAATTTAGAACCCACCCCTGGGCCCACCTATTGCACTACAAACATTCTGAAGTGTAGAAGCTGAAAGAATGCTTCAGTCGAGTTATTGACACACCCATTGCAACTATTGGTGTCTCTTGCAGCTTGCTACATGGCGCTTCCTGAATTCAAAACATGTATATTTTTCTCAGATCATATAAACTACTCTGTTAGGCCAAACAAATAGGCAGCTTCTTTAAAGAAGCACTGATAGATGTGATGTGCACGTCCATTCCAAAGCACCCTTTGAGCATAATCCTGAACTGCAACACATCCTAACATTACGCTCCTGGGGGGGGCAATAGCTTCTCAAAAAAAAACGAGCCGATTTTCTTTGCTTTTTTGATACTTGACTTAAACTATTCTGTAATCTTCTTCTGTTTTTTAAAAAAAATCACATATCTCCTTGTACATATACAGAGAGGTATACAGGCACATGTTAATCGAAGGACAACTGAAGGTTGTCAGGTTATTGCAAACTCTTGTGGTGATGAGTCAGAATTTTTACTACCGGTTCTCTGAACTACTCAAAATTTCCATTACCGGTTCTCCAGAACTGGTCAGAACCTGCTAAAACCCACCTCTGGTACCCATTCCATAAGGCATATGTAGATAGAAATATCTATGTATTGTACTTTATTCATTGTGTGCTTCATGACCTTCTAATGGGAGGGAAAGGTGAAATATCTTTTCCAGGTTTGATGCTTCAGAAATGTATTAGCAATCATATCTGAATAGCAAAGCAGGAAACATCTTAATGAGGATGACTCCAGTTTTTGCAGGAAGTGAAGAAATGCATCATGTACAAGCGTTCTTCATACACAGCCATGCAGTTATCGGCATGTGAAGTTATCCCCACAGGGGAAATAGTTGAACCTTTCCTTCCATCAAACAGATGCACTTTATGTAATTACAGTGAAGATATGTTCTTTCTCAACCCTGGGAGGCTCCAGGGTCAAAATGCCCTGACACGGCATGTTCCCTGCAAGCACTGTGGAAAGCATTTATCTGTAGAAAGCCTAATGCTACAATCCTATATATGCATTTACCTGAGAGCAATTGAGCTGAGCTCAGCTGAATTACTTTTGAATAAACAGGCATAGGATTATTATGGGACAGTATTTTATCAAAAAGCCATTTGTTTGTTTGTTTGTTTGTTTGTTCATTCATTCATTCATTTGCTTTTATATCTTGTGTTTTTATTAATATTGAATGTTTCCAGTAACTAACAACTAATTTTTTTAAAAAAAGTCAATAATAATTAAGTGATTCTGAGCATGTATTGTGCAAGTAGTTTAAATGTAAATAAAAGTTAACTACTACATTCCCTATCTGATTTTCTTTTTTTATGTACACTGAGCATATGCAACAAGACAAATTCCTTGTGTGTCCAATCACACTTGGCTAATAAAAAATTCTATTCTATTCTATTCTATTCTATTCTATTCTATTCTATTTACTTGAATCTTCGCTTCTGAAAAAGTTATCAGAAAGTACAGAATACTATTTTATTTACTAACAGGGCAAGTTCTTATTTTATTTCATTGCTTCTTGATATGTATTTGAAATAATTATCAAATGCTGAACTGTGGAGAACTGCAGAAAATGTTGAAAACAGTATTTTTCTTTTAAATATGGGAGATGGAATATTTGTTGCAGGTTTGTCTTTTTATGCTGTTTTTTTATTTTATAAAATAAAAAAATAAATAAATGTAAACACGTAACGTTACCAAGCTAAACCTGTCATATAGCAGAATTCCATTGTTTAAATTACTTACTTCATACATTACATTTTAAAGTTAAAAAGTAATATAAAAATAATTTAGAATATTGATTTTCAACCTTTCTCAACTTGATGTCATGTTGAGTTGGAATTCTAAAAATTGTAATTCCATTACATTTGGATTGACACTAGATTGTGGAAATATGGTCTATATAATACTCTGGCACTCAGGAAGAACTGTTCAGAATGAATTGTAGGTGAAATTTTATTTTTTAATTTTCTTTTTCTATCTCTGGCACTCAATAGACTGTCTAACCCAAATCATTCAATTACTGCAGGATATTTTTTAAGATATTTGGAATATCTCATTACTGTTGTACACTGTTTTAAGTATTACATTGTTTTTAAATGATTGCTTTTTGAAAACGTTGGCAGGCCAACCATCTCCTTGTTTAAGAACATCATCCAAAATGAAACCAATTGAAGAAAGTGTGGAAGACGATGTCTTTGAAGCTTCATCTGCCACACCATTTAAAGGTCATGAGTGACTTCACAGGACATTCATGCATTTGTTCAGAAGAATTGCAACTATAGATGATGGCTTTGTTATTTGTGTTTTAATTGTATCCGTCTTTTGACTTTGTAGTCAATCTATGAGCAAACTTTTACCAATCACTCAAACTATAGTAACCTCCACTCCAACAATCGTGTTTGTTTCACTACAACTAAAAGACCTGTTTGGGGCCTCTTTATGCTTGAATGAATAGAATATGAGGAATGGAGGAACTATATATACATAGGGCATTTATGCACACATCTGGCTCCTGTTCTAAAGTAAATGACAGCTTTCACAGCAACTGGAGAGCTACATATGCATTAGCCTAGGCCAGGGCTGTTAAACTCATGGCCCACAGGCCAAATGCATCATGCACTGGCCACGCCCATGCCTGGTTTAGTGTAGGGAGAAAAGTCTCGATACGTCACATGATGCCACTGTGACAATGCTGGTTTGACATCCCTGGCCTAGGCACGTAAGAGTGTTAACATTCAATTATATTGCAATGAACCAGGTGGATTATATGGAAAGTAATCCCAGTAAAATATATGTTCATTTTAGCTTTTTAGGCAGTAAGTAGGATATGATTCTAAAGAGACTTAGCAGTGATACATCTGCACAATATGGAAAATGTAGGTTTACTACAGTATTGACCTGTATCTCTTAAATATCAAAATTCTGGCAGCAGTAACTTGTTAAATTAGCACGGGAGAGGTAGTTTCTAGCATCCTTTCCTGTCTTGAATTGGAAAATGATTACTATTGTCAAAAACAAAAGTTCTGATTAGGTATTGTGTAGTATGCCACTCACATTCTGGCATGTGTATAAGTGAGCAGTTCTCATTTTTCCTCATTTATGGTGTCAGTAGGGTTGATTCTAGGCATACTTTTACACATAATTCTCTCTTGGTGGACTGGAATCAATAATGTTACAATCAGTAGTGATTATAGTTCTTTCTGATCAGTTCATGTATGTATGTATATAATTATATATATGCCTTTAGGAGTGGCACAAGTGTGTTCAAATATTCAAATAAAGGTGTCTATTGTAATTAAATTTGAAGCCTAAGTTATTAGTAACTTTAAAATAGTAGACACCTTTCAATGTCATTTATTTATTGAATTTATTGGTGATTGTTTTTATTATATTTATTTAGTGAAAATTTGATACTAACATCACTGAGTTATAAACTAACCCTATTTTATATAGCAATAAGCAAGCATACTTCCTAAAAACAGAAGCCATCCAAGCTTACTATTCTTTTAAAGTTTATATTGATGTAGGATTACTGGCACCAAAGTTAAATTGAATTTACATGGCATAAAAATAATGGAAAGTTTGAGATGGTCTCTTTCCATCTTACTCCATTCTAAAATGTATTGGGAAGATAGTCTTCCCCCCTTGAAGGAGATGGGCCATCTAAAAATATGAAATACAAATAAATTAAATAAATACTGTGAGCATAAATAATAAACACTTGTTTACTATTTACTTGTTTGTTTATTATTTATTATGAATAATAAATGATAAACACTTCTGTTCCCATTTTTTAAAACTTTACAATACAGTGCTTAATATTTTTCACTGAAAGTGGTGATAAATAACAGTGTTTAATTTTATTGTAATTATAGCTGATTCAGAAAATAACTAGAAATAGTCATCTATGGAGCTTGCACTGACAAGTATCTTAAGGAAAAAGCTCTAAAGTAAAAGAAAATACATTTGTTATGACAGATGGCTGTAAAATCAGCAATTATTTATGTGATAGCTATCTTTGAAGATCTTTGTATACTGCACAGCTTTTGAAAACTGAAGTTTAGTATTAAAAATTCAATGGTCAGTTTGTGACATGGAACAAGTTTATTTTTCTAGGTATTTAAGTCTTTTGATAAGATGTTGCCATAGTTGTATCGCTGATAAAATCATTATTATTATTATGGAAAAACTTTACAGTTATACAATTCAGACATTGTAAGAACTAGACTGGATAAACCAAAACAATTTTTTAAAACTGTGAATTTACTATGGTGCCATTATAATTCACTGTTATGATTTCTAATCAACTTGAACTGGGTTGAATGTTTCAAACCTGAACATAGGAGAATAAATGTCTTTAACTTTTTGGTACAATAAAACTGTTAAAAGAAACAAAGTGTTTCTCTATATAAGCTTCCCTTCCAATAGCCAAGCAACAGTTATCATGGCCTGTATGTGCGATTCTCATGGTACCATGGCTATATTTTTAACCATTCAGTGAAATTAACCTTTTTGGCTGTAATGGATTTTTCCAATGAATTCACTCCAGCATTAGAAATTACATTCGGTTATTGACAGGTTTGCCATTAACATTACCAAATTATATGTTAACATTAACGCTGCACATAATTGGTTAGTCATAAAAAACATTGCTATTTTGCCTGTTTCCTTTTCAAATTTGCCTGGTTAAATTTATGGATTTCCCTGCAACAATGTGTAATAAAATTTTTCAATAAGCCTCATATTAGTACTTCATTGCTGTAAAACTTTCAACTGTACCATCAATGTGAATCTTAAAATCAGTCTTACTGTAACTGGATTATACTGCCACAGTCATGGAAATGATACTGCTATTAGATACAGATGAATAAAATGATGAAAATTATGGTCATCTTTCAGGGAAATATTTCTGTGACATAAGGTGGCATTTTTCAAAAGATGGGACAAGCTTTTTTAAAGGTAAGTTTAGAATTTAGGAAGAGCCCTTTTATTACAGATCAAAAGCTTATCTATCCCTGATTCTATTCGAATTAAGTCCAATTAGTAGAAGTCTATAAATATAAGTTTGCAACAATTCTAGACGTTACTGTTGATGCTACCCTTTCCCAATTAATGTAAACTCTTTTCTAAACTTGATGGCTGGCATTACCTTTGGTAACGTCTGTGTTTTAATTATGGTTGTATTTCTACAGCATACTAAATCATTGTTTGCTTAACCAAGGTTTGAGCTCATAGAAGACACTAAACCATACCAGCTGGTTTACACATTACACTTTGGTTTAATCACACAATACAAATGCAACCTCTCTGTTTCATGTATCTCTTAATTATATACCAGCTTAGTTAGCTTATTTAGTTACAATCCATAAGAGGCATTCCACATTTTCTCAGCATCCTAACCAATCACTCACAGCAGAAGTAGTGCTAGCAGCTTCCCTATAGCAATAGCACTTAGACTTACATACCACTTCACAGTGCTTTACAGCCCTCTTTAAGCGGTTTAAAGAGTCAGCATATTGCCCCCAACAATCTGGGTCCTCCTTTTACCAACCTCAGAAGGATGGAAGGCTGAGACAACCTTGAGCCTCTCGGAATCGAACTGGAGTGAGCAGAGAGTTAGCATGTAGTACTGCATTCTAACCACTGCACCACCACGGCTCAAGTTTCCTTCAGACTGAATTCCTATGGTCTTCTGATCTTTCTTTCTTTCATACATGCTGGCAGTATTGTTTCTCTTTTGGTACAAGCCCCTTGGAAAGTCTTTTCTAATGGTAACTGGATTTTCAAACAATTGTTTTCTTTTCCAAAGTTATTTACCCTATACCAAGGGTGGGCAACTGTGGCCCCTTTACAACCTGTGGACTTCAACTCCCAGAATTCCTGAGACAGCCAAGCTGTCTCAGAAATTCTGGGAGTTGAAGTCCACAGGTTGTAAAAGGACCACAGTTGCTCACCCCTGCCCTATACCTATATAAATCAAGGCAGATTCTCCAAGCTTTATACTCTTCATTCATGGAGTATGAAGTTTCTCTTTCGTAAGCGGGTGCTGTGTAGTTTTGCATAACACTTATAACCACAGGTAAGATTTTTAGTTTTCTTAATCCACACAGAATGCCTGATCACATGGGCTGGAATCACACAACCACTGAATCACAAGTCAGCCACATTCCCTTTAGCATAAATAGCACTTTACTATTTACATTTGATGGAAAGCATTTCAGTAAAAAAGTGAATTAAATTAATAAGCATTTTTTTTAAAAAAATCTTTTTTTAAAAAAAATTGTTTTTCTATTAAATACAGTTCTTAGTGCTTAATAAACATCTGGTTGTCTGGGTATTTAATTTGCTTAACAATACAAATTTACATTCTTAATCTCCACCCCTTTTTTCTAACCATTTTCCATATTTGATAATATTCTACGTCTTCTTTCTGTTTAATTTTCAATGTCAAATCTATCCATTTCTGCACACTATCTCTTCATCTTGTGGTATATCTTCATTTTTCCAGTATTATATTCGCACAATATTGGGAGGAGGGGGGAAATCCTTTTTTGTTGTTCCATTTATAACTAGAGCTCTGGAAGATGCCCCTAAGAAGGCGGCACATAGAGTCCTAGGACTCACGTTGTGTCTCTCTGAAATAGGGTCCAGCAGACAGGATGACAGCATGACTTCACAGATGTATAAGAGGCTTGTGATCGTGTTGAGTTGAATGTCATCCGGTTGTAGTAATTGACTGCACTTCAGTTTCTAATGCTCCTCCTTCGTTTCCCCCTTAGAGATTAATCATATCCTCAGGCCACATCTTGATTTCCTGTTCAAAGCACTCTTGTGATATGAATTCCCCTCCATCCTCTGTAGTAAAAGCGGATGCTGAATGGACATTTCAGCTACCTATTGACTTAAGAGAAACTACGATTAATCCAGCCACCTAGGGCACAAAAGAGCTGTGTCAGGGCTGGCTGTCCATCCAGCTTTCCCTTTCAACCCGTTCAACAAAAATGTACAAGAAATACATGCATTTGCTTGTTTCAGAGCTGCAGAGATGCCCACTGAATGACCCTTTGGAGCAGACAAAATGTTTCTGGGCCACAGCTTCTTCATTCTGTTTGTAGGATCATGAACAGTATGTGCATATTTATAATGCACATATATCCAGAAAAATATCTTCTACATCTAATTGCTATCCAGATGGGCTGTTTTATAGTTTCAATCATCATTCAGAATTAAGTATTCCTCTTACTACTTTATCCTCAACACAACCATGTAAGTATGTAGTCTAAGAAATATTGAGTTCATTTATATATATCACTAAATCAAGATTTTCTAACCACCTTATTGATGAAGGAAAAATCTGAGTCATAATAGCTACGTTCACACATCATACTCAAACCAAAACACAGTACAGTTTAGAATTATTATTAATTAACAATATTGTTAATTATTGTTAATCAGACCACTGAGATCTGAAATTGCCAGAGATTTTCAAGAAAACATTGGACAACCATTTGGGATTTTATAAGGACTTTGACGGGGTTGGAGTGGAAGACCTCCAAGGTTGCTTCCCAGTCCTATAAGTCTATGAAATCAGGATAATTGCTACAATTAATCTTACCTGGAACTCCATAGTGCTTGTATGATTAATAAGATTACAATATTTCTGCCTGGTTCATACATGTCATTAAGGTAGGCATATTAAACTAGATAAAAAGTTCTTATGCGTAGATGAAAACATACTATACCTTCACTGCAGATAAGACTACCATGTGGTAGCAGGAGAGGTTGGAGTTTTCTTGATCTCTTTGTTGCCATCAAATGGGTACCCAGAGTTTTGCAGGTGTGATAGGCTTAGCTTATTCATTTCTCTCTCAACCCTCCTTAAGACCATACCTAATCAATTCTAGCCCCATCTACTTTTAGAAAATGTCCTTTTTTTCTAAAGCCCTTGACTTATAATACAGAAAGAGAACTGTAGAGTTGTACAGGTAATCCTAAATGTGAATAAAATAAAAGATAATCCTCATTTAACAGCCCCAACTCAGTTGTTAAGTGAAGCAGTCACTAAGTGAAATTACAACTGTTTATTATCTTATTTTAGGCATACAGGCCTGCACGATTGTTCACAAATATGTGAACATTTTTATTAATTTTTAAAGATGAAATGCTTTTCTGCTTTAATATCTCAGTAAAAAAATAATAATTAAGAGTAACTTAATAATATCTGTATTATCAATCTTCAATCTTGAAGTAAAATGCTGTTGCAAAACTTGATCCCTTGTCTTCTTTCTGTTAAAGCACACCAAAATATCCTTTTTTATTCTTGCAAATCTACTATTTATTCTATATATTTTAATATTTTTTTTGCCTCTGTATCCATCTCGTTCCAATCCCAAAAAATGGCTAAAACCTCAATAATCTTTCTTCTAATATCTTCACCGGAATCCTCTGAGATCACTCTAAATCTCAAACAAAATTCCTTCTCTCTCAATTCAATAAACTCAGATCATCTAGTTTTCTTTTCAACTGCCTGTAATTTCTGCCTTACTCTCCAAAATTTCCACTTCATCATGAATTTTATTTATATAACCAGACGTAACTTTCACAGAGTTTTTCATCTTCTTAACTTCTTCTTTCATCTACTCTTTCATCTTTATATTTTTCATTCATTGTTTTTTTCAAAAATTATCAATTTAGTATCAAGGGATACATTCACCCCCTGGCCAGTTGCTCCAACATTTTCTGATGCAAATCTGGCATAATTCTTCCCTCTGCAGGTTGCTGTGGCGATCCTTCCCTCCATTTTTGCTGGTTGCCATTATAATCCAAAAATGCAAGTATTTCAAACAAGACAAAAAGAAAGATAACACCCCCCCACACACACCTTTTGTCTTCCTCCGCCCTTAATACTTTGCCTTAAGTGGCACTCATAACTACAGTCAACATCACAGTATGGCTCATATTTCTGTCATCTTTTGTTGCATAAAATCCACCAATTGCCTAGCCCTAGCCCTAAAACAAATGGGATTGAACTGGGGTTTGGGTGAATTTTTTAAGGTATTTAATAATTGTTACCTCCTGCCCACCTAACAGATGAAAAACATGCAAATCCAAGTAGATAAATAGGCACCACTTCAGTGGGAAGGTAACAGCATTCCATGTGCCTTTGACATATATAGCTATGCTGGTCACATGACCATGGAAATTGTCTTTGGACAATGCTGGCTCCCTCAGCTAAGAAATGGAGATGAGCATCCTGTCCTAGAGTCGGACATGATTGGGAAGCTTTTATCTTTGCTACTGGAAAAGACTGGCATCCAATTGAGTCCAAGGCAAGGGCTATCTATGACAATCCACAGACTAGGTTGCCAGTCAGTGTTTCAACCTAAAGTTACTTTTTCACACCTTAGTGAGATTCCGTCAGGGAGTGGAACTGAGCAGCCATAAATCAAGTCATTTACTCAAAGTCAGCTCATAAAACCATAAATCAGTCTGTAGCTCTTCATCAAATGAAAGGGGCTAGGCAAACACAGCAGCCTGCCAATGGGAGTTTGGACTCAGAAAAAAAATGATTTTAAGTCCATCTCTGAAGTTAAGAAGTCACATTATGGGGATCATGTATCCTTTATCATTTAAAATTGTTCTCACAAAGGAGAACAACTTTCTATACACTGCCATTTATACCCCCTGCACAGCCCCTTGAGCACAGCCCTTACGCTTGTTTCTGAGATGTCTACCTTCACTGTGAAATCTGAAAAACTGGATTCTTGAGGACTGATGCTAGACAGTGCAGAGTAGCATCTTTTCCCCCTGGAAAATTGCATTCCAGCAATATCTGGAAGGGGCAGATTTGCCAGTGGAAGGACAGAAGCAGCTTGGATAAAAGACTACCTTCTGTGTGAACTCAACAGCAAGCTGGTTTTCTTAATGAGCAGCATATTGCATCAAGTGAAAAAGATTTTAGTTGCAGTTGCTCAATCTTACGGAAAATACAGATAGTTCTATCCATGAGTGCTAGAAGTTAAATAAAACCTGGGCTGTTTTACTGAGCCTTTTGGTGGATTGCAACATTTTTGCATGTTTGCTGCTTTTATTTTACAATTTTACAGCAGTGCTAATCTTTTAAAAGAATTATAACCCACTCTGATAGCTTTCCTTGACAGAAAAGCAGTACAAAAATATAGTAGAGAGAGGTATACTAATAAATACTGCTACTAAATCTAAGAGACCAATATTCTTAAAGAAAAACCAACTAGACCCAGAGTTACTTATTTTATTAACAAAATTAATGGACTAATGGAGATAAAGACATCTGTTTTTCTACTGCTTTAGGAAGTCTAAGTTACATCTTAGTTTATTTAAATCGAGATTTCAAGTGAACATAAGAAAAATATTTTGATAATGTAAAAAGGCTAAAATTATTTTAGTAAGAAACTGGGTCTCAAGAATTGTTTTCTAGAGAAAAGTGCAGCGCACCATCTTTTAGATGTGGACTTCATCTTGGGCAGCTGGCAGATTAGGGCACACCATGAAACATCCACGTAACATCACTGTTCATGGATTATATAGTAGAGGATTGATGGCTGACCTTTTTTTCCGAAAGCGCACACGTGTGTGCGACAGTGCATGCATGCGTGCCCACAGCCATAATGCAATGCCTCCCGCGTGCCCTGCCCCCTGCGCATACACGCACGTGCCCCATGTTTCCCCACCCCTTGCGCATGTACGCGTGACCTCCCCACTCCCTCATGGTCCCCCCCTCTACACATGCATGTGTGTCCCCGGCCCGTTTTTGGTCCCAGGAGGCTTCACGGAGTCCTGCTAGGCCCAAAATGGGACTGTGGGGCACACCTCATCCCCCCGACCCCCCCGGTGCATGCGTTCACGACCACCCCGGTTCCCTGCACATTTGTGCACGACCCCACCCACCCAATCACCCCCCGCACATGTGAGCGTGTCTCTGCAGACCAGGCAGTTGGTCGGTGGAGGCTGTTGTGGCTCCGTTGCCTGAGCCTGGGCTATCGACAGATGCAGAGTCTGAGAGTGAGGGAGAGGAATTGGCAAGGCCTCCCTCTCCAGGACCCTCCTCTCTGGCAATGCCTCCGGAGGACACCGAAGGCCAAACGATAGGCTCAGAGCCAAGCACGTCCCCGCAGCCACAGGTGGACAGCGACGAGGAAAATAAGTGCTGGCTGGACCCTCGCCAGAGGCGCAGGGAGAAGCTAATCTCTGGCGAGGCACTTTGCACCTTCGGACACACCACCTATTTGCTGTGGATTTAATTACAAACTGGACTATTCAAACTGTGTATTTTTGTCTGTGTTATCAGAGTAAAAGTTTTTGGCAGGCAGCCACGGAGTTGCTGCCAAGTTCCTTATCACTGACGTTGAGTGTTTGAAGAGTTTATTTAATCCTCGGCTGGCTGGTTGGGTGTGTGTGTGTTATGGGGACAGAACAGAGGCATGCGTGCATACTCAGTGGAGCTGACTTAGGGCGATGGCTCCCGTGCCTGCACAGATGGCTCCGCGTGCCACCTGTGGCACCTGTGCCATAGGTTCGCTATCACGGTACTAGAGGTTTTCGGATTTTCACCTCAGTTTATTAGCTATACATGCTCAGAGCCTGGGTACTTTGGGTATTGCCTCTCTCCAATGGTTTCCACCAAGGATGGATTCTAAATTGTTTTACTACTGGTTCTGTGGGCGTGGTTTATTTTGTGGGTGTGGCTTGATGGTCATGTGACAATTCTTTAGGATTTAGCAGAGGTACTGGTCTACCAGGCTTTTAACTACTTGCAGAGCTGTATCGGTCTACTCATTTGTTTTTGGAGGCACCAGTCTACCATTTGTTTTTGGAGGCACCAGTGTACCCGTTTGTTTTTCGAGCGCACTGGTCTACCACCACACTGCCTTTTAACACTCATCAGCTGTAGGGCAGCCATTTGAAGCCCCGCAGCAAGAGTTTAAACATTTTTTTCCTTCTAGCCGATCAGCTGGAACTCGGGAGGCAATAAATAGATTGGGAGCGGGGCCGAATAAAAGGTAAGAATAATGCGGGGGGGGAGGGCCCAGCTCCTGAACAAAGAGAACCTGTTCAGTGATGTCATATCATCACCGCTACCGGTTCGGCCGAACCGGGCCAAACTGGGAGGAACCCACCACTGGTTTCCACCTATCCTGCAAAATTTGGCAGAGTAAACATACACCAGGTCCTTTTGGAGATCTGAGGTGAACAATCTACATGAAGTTGGATAGTGTTGAACCTCTTGGCTCTTTGAAACTCTACAAATCTGTTTTTTCCCTTAGTTTATAATAAGAATGTTAATCGAGCCCAGTGTTTCCTTCCCCTTGTTGAGCAAGATGTTTTATCTGGCATAGTTTTTTATCTGGCATAGTATTTTTTATATTGTTCCTATATAAATCTCTTTTTATAACTAACTGCCCAGATTTAGAATACGAATAAGAATTAGAATTAAAATTAGAATAGAATAAAATTAGAATAGAATAGAATAGAATAGAATAGAATAGAATAGAATAGAATAGAATAGAACATAACAGAACAAGCTGGAAGGGACCTTGGAAGTCTTGTAGTCCAGCTCAAGTAGGAGAACCCAGGCTCAAGCAAAAGAACCTATACCATTTCAGATAAGTGATTGTCTAGTCTTTTCTTAAAACCCTCCAGTGATGGAGCATTCACGATTTCTGAAGGCAAGCTGTTCTACTGGTTAATTGTCCTCACTGTTACAAAGTTTTTTCTTAATTTCAGGTTGCTTCTTTCTGATTAGTTTCCAATCATTCTTTCTTGTCCTGCTCTCTGGTGCTTTGGAGAATAATTTCACCCCCACCCCCTTCTTTGTGACATCACCTCAAATACTGAACTACTACTAGCATGTCACCCCTAATTTTTCTTTTCTTTAGACTAGCCAAGTCCAAATCCTGCAGCTGTTCATGTTTCAGACTCCAGGCCTTTGATCATGTTAGTTGCTCTTCTCGGAACTTTTTCCAAAGTCTCAACATCTTTCTTGTAGTATGGTGACAAAAACTGGTTGCAGTATTCCAGGTGTGGTCTTCTTACTAGGGTTTTATAAAGCAGTACTAATACTTCACGTGATTTTGATTCTATGCCTGTGTTTATACAACCCAGGATTGTATTAACTTTTTTGGCTGCTGCTGCACCCTGCAGGCTTATATTCAAGTGCTCATCCACTAGGACTCCAAGGTTGCTCTCTCAGTTACTGTTTTTGAGCCATGTCTTGCCTAATCTGTACTTATACCTTTGATTTTTCCTGCCTAAATGTAAAACTTTGCTTTCCTCCACATTAAAATTCATTTTGTTGGATAGGGCCCATTGTTCAAGTTTGTCAAGGTCTTTTTAGATCCTGAGCTTGTCTTCTGGGGTGTTGGCTATTCCTGCCAGTTTAGTGTCATCTGCAAATTTGATGAGTTCCCTTTCTATTCCCTCATCTAAGTCACTTATGAAAATATTGAAGAGTATTGGGCCTAAGATGGAACCTTGTGGTATCCCACTGCTTACTTCTCTCCATATGGATGTAGTACCATTAAGGACTACTCGTTGAGTATATTTTGTCAGTCAGATACAAATCCAACTGGTGAGGATTTACTGGATTAATTTGGATGCCATAAAAACAATCCATCCACCTTGTAATTTGTTGTATTCTAATAACAGAAGTTTTATCTAAGCAGTATGCACATATATAAAGCAATAAGGTTCTCTAGCCAATTTTCCTTGAATCCATTCTTGGTGGAATTGGGACTATGATCTCATTGGATTTCTTGTTTTGCTTAACAATGTTATTTGTGCAATGTATGAGAAAAATGATTACAATAAAAGTTGAATAAAATAGGATGATGACTATTGTACATGTATTGAAAATATTAAAAGGGTCAGCATTGTATTCAATTTCAAACATGAAAAATTCATGCCAATGAATGATTTGTAAACGGGACAGAAATCATTTAGGGCTGTGCCCAATGTTTTCCCACCCAGCATATATTTAAACACCCAGAAACTGGTGGTAAATGCCAATGTTTTATTTTTCATCACATAATCCTTTTAAACCTCAGTCACAAATGGATGATTGATAGAAATAAACATTCAGCAATAGACATTAAATGAAGGTATAAAATACAGGATATATAGAAAGACAATCAGTGCTTTGTTCCAACAAGACAGAGACAGTAAACAGGTGGAAACATGATCTTTCCCAACCCGCTCATCACTGTCTTCTCTTTTAAAAGACCCCAAAATTCAAGTGACTTGTTTTTATTATATGTAAACACCATAATGAATTAAAAATGGACCATGAGGTAATCTATATTCTATGGAGGACAGGTTTAAAAATGTTAGATAAAAAGTCAATATTCAAGACACACAGATATTGTGTTCACTTTGGTCTCTGATTATTTAATTCATTCACTAGAGTAATATACAAATTCAAGTCAATCTGTTAATACTTGTCAGCCATACTGTTAAGAAGTAGGAAACTGAAAGAGGTAGTCGCTATTGTAATGGTTTTTCTTAGTTTGTCACGGTAAGTTAGCAATAGTTTAGAGCAAATGTCCTAACTTCTTATATTCAATTTCATTCTCATTTTCTTGTGACGGACATTGCATTGGATCTTCACGTGAGCAAGCTGTGTGCTTGGGAAAGAAGCTTGATGCTTCCTTCCCGAGATACAAATATTTAGTCAGGAACTATTGATGCTGAAAATGGAGCTTAAAACCCCGAATTTGCTCAACCACAGTACAGGGGTGGCAGAGTCAGGGGTCTGATCCATCTGCATCAGAGGACTGAATTTATATTCACAACATTGCTTATTTTCAACTTCTTTGGCCTGATGTAGGGCATTGTGAAAAATTGTTGAAGCCTTTGTCAGCATCTTGTCGCCAACCAATCATGATGGCAGAATAACACTACTAGCCTATCTTTAAAAGGCCAATGATATAAAACAGAACAAGATACATTTAACAAGTCTTTAAAGGTGACCATAGACAAAGTCATAAAATCTCATTAAAGACATCTAGCAAAATTAAATCCTGCGCATCCGCACACATTTTCCCAATGACATTCATTTCCATCATAACTAAAGGGGAGGAAAAACACACATATATTCTTTTTGATAAACATTTCTCACAGATAAATTAATTTAAATTAGTTTAAGACTTAATGCGATCTTTCCCCTTTATATTTTTTCATACAAAAGTCACCAGATCTATAACACTTTTATGGGTCTCTATCCACAAAATTACACAAAGGAAGTAACTTTGGGGTAGTACTAAGACAAATTAAGATCTTTTTAACTGAGTAGCCTGTATTTAGCAAAAGAATCACATCCTTACAGAGCTAATTGTACAATCAAATAACACCTAAGTAATTGTCCTCTTATCTTTTCCCTCTGAGATTTTTTTTTTAAAGTTGCTAGTCAAGTGTGCACAGCTCCTACTGTTTTCACTATATGAGACCAGTTCTGGAGCACAAGGGCCTCAATTCTAGGGCAAGGAGACAAAGAAAACATTTGTGCAAGTGAAGTCCCATTGCAATTCATATGACAGACTTGCTGTTTCAAGTTTTGGCTTAGTCACATTAGAAAGTTCAAAAAAGGTTTCATAAAGCTCAGTGCCAACAAGAGTTCAGGATGCTGTTGAAAGCAACAGTGATTCCTAAATGAGGCAATTTAAAATAAAGTATTTTAATTTTGCAGTAAAATTGTAAATCTTAAAAGCTTTAAAGGTATTGGCATCTATCATTCAAGCATGAATTGTGCTCATGTATTTTTATTTTATTTTTTTCTTATCCACTTAGTAACCTTTCACAGAGTTAAGTGTTGGTCTACTTAGCTATTATGTTATTTATGCTGGGGGTTAAAAAGTGCAAACTGGATTTGCACACATGCCGTTAGCATTTGTTTAGTGATGCTCAAAGTGGGTGGGGCAAAATACTTAGGATTTTGCACTTGTGCTTTGAGTGTGGGCAAGTTAAAGAGCAAAGCAAATGCCTTAAAGCTTGCAGGTCCTTAAACCAAAGCTTGGTAAAACTGACCTTGTGCAGTTACATCTGAGGGGAGAAAGTAGGGTTGTGCTCCCAGCATCTTGGGGGTTTTGGCCTTTGGCTGTAACCATCACCACGACTCCGAGGGCAAAGAGGTGGGAAGAGAGGTTTCTCCAGGCACTCCCCTTGGGCTATCTCATTGCCCAGCTGTCTCTACCTTGCTGGGAGACCTCTGTGCACAGATCATGCTTCCCTATTCGCATCACATTCAGGGTGGCCAGGAATGGTTGCAGTTGGAGCATCAGGCCATTCTTGCAGTCAATGGAACTGCGACTGTGATTTATTAAATCAGTCTCCTTATTCGGACATCATACCAGACTGCAGTCTAATTGCTGTTCACCAGTTGGAAATGGATCTCGTTTTACAAGCTAACCTGGTTCGGATGTCAATGGGAAGCATGATTTAACAAATCACACTCACCTTCCCTCGTGTGTGGGTCTGCAGACAGGGGCGAGGAGGAGAATGAGGGAGACGTGCTGAAATCCAAAGCTTTTTCTGCTCTGAGATTGCCTGATTTGGGCCACGGGATTATTTAGGCCAGACAAAAACCCAGGGCTGGGCAGCCAAGTCTTGCTGGAGTCTGCCCATTATCAAAGCAATGAAACCCAGGAGTGTATTATTTTGGAACAATATGGTTGTTCTATGTTCCTTACAAATTGGCAAACATACTGAAATGGGATAAATATAGTATCGCTCTCACTAGCAGTCTGCTAGGTTGTTATATAACTGCTGGTTGTTATAACTGCTTATTATTTACTTTCATCAGATAATTATATCTTATAAACAGAGCAAGGAAAAAAACTAACAATTCTCTTGCCATCCAGGAATAATGAGATAATTAGTTAATTCCCACATGTTGGTTCTTTCTTAAGAGGGGGGTGGGGTGGGGAAATCCTCCTGGTACATCAACAGCACCTCTCTCTCTGTCAACCAGGTAGAAAAAGTTAAAATTTCAAGAGAGACTCTCATATCATTTCAAACAAGATGCATCGTTTTCAAAACTAAATATCATTGTAATATGTGTATGTTGCACAAGCATTTTTTTTTCTTTTAAAGTAGAGGTATGTACCATAGAATCAAAAGCCACATTTAAGGCCAGAGCAACACGCAGATATTGCTTCTGTGGTCAGTAATGAGGTAGTTGTTTGCTGTAAACAGAAATAATTATATTCTTCCCTATATTAACAATGTGGCTTAGAAATTCAGGAACGGGGAGACATTGCCCTGCCCACAACCCTAAAGATCAGCCATGCTTGTACTGTGTTCACTTCAGTACATGGGAAATATAATGCAAAAAGTTGATATCTGAGTCATAAGAAACTCATTAGTAAACAGAGGTAGTTATTATCATTAGCACATAATATGTATATAATAGCACGGTACATAGCAGTATCAAAGCATTTTTGTTTGTTCTGAACAAGCAAGCAATCTGTAAAAGAAAAATAATAATTACATACCATTTTCCCTGAGCAAGGTTCTTTGTCCTGAGAAGGATATTTTGCAATAGTGACCATCCTCCAATATACAAAAATAACATGTAAACTTTTAATAATAAGATAGGTCTGCTAGGCTCTCTTAGCAATTCAGTTTGTGGCTGCTGGAATTATTAATTTCATTCAAAAAAAAAAAAAAGTAATTCTGGAATTTTAAAGTAGCTAAACAGAGAATGGCCAGTTTTCAAATCCACCATTTCCATATTACTCTCTAAAAAAAGGTCAATAAACTTTGGTTTATATTTTCAAAGTGACCTTACCCTTGCCATTGTTGCTGTTTTATAACCCAGTTATTATACCTACTAAAAGATTAGGCAATGCCACTTCGATTTGTCTACATAACTTAAATAAGTTTACAATCCTTGCATAAGGCAAGGAAGTAGTTCTCTATACATACATCACATTCAGTATCGTCAAAACAAAAACAAAACAAAAACCAAAAAACCAAAACACCCCATTTTGCACTGAAATTCACTGAAAACTTCAGTATGAACAACCAAGTTTCTTCTTTCTCTCCAGCACTGCCATGGATTCCAAGCAAATTTCCATAATCAGAGTTGGGCCCACCTTTAGGCCACTGAGTCATTTTCCTGAAGGAAAGTGGGATAGTGGTGACAGCAGTATGATCAACAATATTTAGAGAGGAATTTTTTCTGATAATAATCCTCTCAGATTGTGCAGAACCTACCAAAAACAAGCCCTGGGATTCTCAATGACTTAACCTAGGTGTGCACAATCCATGGCCCATGGGCCACATGCATCCCTGGAGAACAAGTAATGCGGCCCCACAAAATTGTAAACTTTTAACATTATTATGTGATTTATATACATTAAGCTATATAAGCTATCTATTTTATATGGGACCAAAGACAATTCCTCTTCACTCAATGCAGCCCAGGCAAGCCAAAATGGTGGACACCCATGACTTAATCGAAGAAAAATCTGAAGATATGGTTCAAACTAAACTATATTTTGAAATCAGATCGTCTTTACTCATATTTGCTTTTACATTAATTTGCCAAATAAATGGGGTAAAGTATTTCTTCAAGATTAATTTTAAAAGAAAGAAGCAATGGTCCATAGGACTTAATTAACATCTGGCTCATGGGTCTTTTGAAGGTATCAACAGCAGCAGCTGCTCCAAAATTGGTGAAATGGGTAAGAAACTGATTTTAGCTCATTCCTGGGAGAGTGGAAAAATTGTGACAGTTGGCAGGCCTGAAGATCCAACGAAAAAGATGGCAGGGTTAGAACCCTGACAACAGTTTGATCCTGATCAAATAATATTGTAATGGATGGCGCAGAACCCACCTTGGATAACAAGGAAGATTCAGTTTCAGGAAAGTCAGAGAGGGCCAGCCGGAGTACAAGGTGGACTATCATAGACTCTAGATGGCGTCAGAACTGGTTGCAGTACCTGATCAACTGGAAGGGGTATGGCCCTAAGGACATATCCTGGGAAGATGCTGAGGCCATGCATACCCCCCTATCTGGTCTGCTAGTTTCTCCTCCGGGACCCATGGAAACTGGTCCATGGAGATCATAGGGGGGAAGGCCATGCTGGTGGGGGATAGTATAATGGATGCCTTAGAAGCTAGTTCAACAAGGAAGAGCTTCACGAACTTCAGATTGGGGCTCTGAGGAAAGTCTGGAAGATTTAAGGGACTATGAGTCAGGAAGGGATTGGCAAGAGCAGGAGGAGAGGCCAAGAAAGTTGGAGAAGTGATCGGACAAGCAGCTGAGAATTGGACTCATTGGGTTTTGCACTGATTCCTGTGTGAGGTGAATCCTGGGGAATACTATTCAGGGATGATGAAGCCTCAGTAAAGATTTCAAACCCTTGTAGTGTATGTACATATGAGCGGGACAGGACAAATGTATTGCCAGTTAACTGGCTTTCTAATCTCTTTTTATAAAATCAATCCCCCAAACTCCAAGCATCTGGACAACTCCGTAGGCTTTTAAATAATTCAGCATGTACACAGACTGAAATTACTGTTATGTAATATAGCAATTAAATAAATTTAAGACTGCAATCCTATATACTAATTTTTCCTGAGCTCGAGGCCAGTGAGATCTTACACAGGATTGCACTGTAAATATCAAATATTGATCTTTGGGAAGTTAAAAGGCCAAGACCCATTTCTTAGAAAGACCTATAGAAATCTGTCCAGTGACATGAACACTGAATTGGAAGATGCTACTGCTGCCATCACCATCGCTTTCATAATACTCAAGATTTGCACAAGATGAGTCCAATCAAGTTTTGCAAAAGGGGAGTCCAAATGGCATTTCAATATCACTTTAAACCATTATTTTAACATCTACATTCTCCCATAGAATCACCTAACCTATATTAAAGTCATAGTGAGTTGATACAGTATTTCAGATAACACATTCATTGTCTAAGGGGAGGGCAGGGAAAAGGGGGGATGCTGCCTTTAATTCTTTAAAACTTTGTGGCAATTCTGAGGCATCTTTAAACCAAGGCATTACCCTTTCAAGCTAAGGACTAAAAACTTCCATCCTCCATCTTTTCCACAGAGAGGAATTACAATTTCCCTGAATTCTACAAGGATGTATTGATCTATTCAGTACCGTGGGCATGATGACTCTATACTCAGGAAAGTATGGTTACAATTCTTTCCCTCCCCTTCTTCCTCTTTTATAATTAAAAAAGGCAACATTAAAGAAAAAAATCCATTCAAAACTCAAACTATTACTTTCCCATGAATTCAAGAAACATAGTATTTAAGGTATACATTCAGGCAATGGGCTAGTCTGTACATCAAAATGTCAGATGGTTTATTGTGACAGGAATGGGTTTCTGTGCACAGTGGGTTCTGCTTCCCAGCTCTTGGATGGCTATGAAGAAGAAAAAAAAAACACTTCCATTTCTTATTAATTGCTGTTTAGAATTAATGAATACTATAACTATTTTTCCCCCAAACAAGACATGGGTTAAGATAAACCACAGAGAACTCAAGCAGCTAAAGAAGCATAATCTTCCATAATTCTATAGGGCTGCTCTGGAAAAGTGGGGAAGAAGCAAAGAATATATGCCCAACAATAATTTAGGCTAAGTTTAAAAATCATATGAGATCCTGATGCCCAAACTGTTTAGAAACCCATTAGCCATTAAACCCATCTGAAATTTACTTGGAGTGACTGGTTTGCTTTGGTTTTTTGTTTTCAAAAGACCTCTGGTCCACAACAGTAGTTAAAAGTTGAGGTTTGTTGCAGGATAATACATGAGATTAATTCTCCTTGTGCTTGAATGAGGTAGACGTCCCAAGAGGTAATGAAAGGCGGTGACAAAGCTTTTTAAGTCTTTTTTCTTTTTTGAACTGACGGTCCCTTCCGGCTTTGCTCTTCAGGTGACGGAGAAAACTTACTTGAAGCAGCTTCTTGAGGTGACTTTCCTGAAGGCGGTAAGCTATCTGGCCTTCCTTCCAGAGAATAGGATGGAGAAGTGAAGCCATAGGCTCCTCCTCCTCCTCCTTCCCTCAAGAAGGCTGATGTGGAGGGCTGGGTATCAGCTTCGTATCTTCCCAGGTAACTCGTGGGCTGCTGTGGAACAGTTTTAAGCGGACAGTTTGCCACCATGTGCATGATGCTCTGACAGTAATGGCACTTCTTTGGCTGTGGAGGTAGAATACATTCCTTAGCATGATGATCAAAGCCACCACAATTGTAGCATCTGCAAAACACAAACGGGGAGATATATCCTTAATTGAATAGGCTCACAAGAGAAGTGTTTGATCCTCAGCTTTAAAAAAAAAATAGCAAGGGGCCGGTGCCGAGGAGACCAAAATCACCAAACTTAAAAGTCCTTGATGCTGTCTGAGGTTGTTTGTTTGTTTACAGAAGTTTCATTACCCAATTAGATAACTTCATCAGTGCAAATTTGGAATTCTTAAATTACCTGATGCTTTTTTGACACTATTTTGGAAAGCTGCTTTCTAATATTCCAGGGTATTTCAAAGGATAGGACAACACTGACTACTTTGGAATAGGAACCATGAAGTATAAATGAAAGGAAAAGAAGCAGTACAAGGGAACTTCTTTGTTGTTTCTAAATGACCATCAAAAGCAATTGATAAAAGACTTAATACCTAAGAAACTGACTACATCAGCCTGGCAAACATCCATCAATGTAGGCTTAGTCTATACCCGTGATGGCGAACCTATGGCACATGTGCTGGAAGTGGCACATCCAGAGCCATCTCTCCGGGCACACGAGCCATTGCTCGTTGCTCTTCTGGGTTCTGGCACGCTGGCCAGCTTGTGTTCACGCACCCGGGAGCGCTGGAAACCAGAAGAGCAAACTGCCCAGCGCACTGCTCTTCTGGTTTCCAGCACGCACATCGGCCACCTGGTCTTTTGGTTACTGGTGCACATGCACGCATTGGAAACTGGAAGATCATCTTCCCGGGGTGCGCATGCGTACCAGGTTGCTGCTCTTCTGGTTTCCAGCATGTGCATGCATGCCAACCAGCTGATCTTCGCGCGCGCATGCGTGCCAGAAACTGGAAGACCAAGTGGCCGGTGCATATGCACACACTGGAAACTGGGAAGAGCAGCTGCCTGGCACACGCATGTGCACCGGGCAGCTGCTCTTCCGGTGTCCAGCATGCTCCCGTTTCGGCACTCAGTGGCGAAAAAGTTCACTACAACTGGTCTGTACATTCTTATCAACTACAACAGTGCTATTATTGGGAGATTTGCACATTTGCTTCAGTCTCCTTTAGTCCACAAGTAACAAGATAACAGTCTAATATTGACTGAAAAAAATGACAGAATCTTTCTTAAAACATGAACAATAGTCAATTTATGCTGGATTCTACTCAGAAAACTCAATAAAGTTGTGAGATGTAAAATATGCAAAAAAAAAAAAAAAAGTCCTGGCTAGGGTGCACAATAGTACTGATATTGAGAAACATTGGAAAGTTTATTGGAGACTATTATGAATGGTATTGCTTCTCAAAAGAGACTCATGAAGGATAACCATGCATCAATTTGTTGTCATTGCTGATTTCTGTTTCACATATTTTTTTAAAAAAATCTTAAGAATAAGAACAACCTGTAAGCAAAAGGCAAGAAACTCAACAGTCTGCAGTTACCATCTCTTGGATTTTGAGATAACCTGAAGTTTATTTATTTAAATTTATTTGTATCCCACCTTTATTATTTTTACAAATAACTCAAGGCCACACCATATCCAACACCCCTTTCTCCTCCTACGGTATTTCTCCACAACGACTCTGTGAGGTGGGTTGGGCTGAGAGTGCCTGGCCCAATGTCACCTAGCAGCTGGCTTTCATGGCTAAAGCAGGACTTGAACTCACAGCCTCCTGCTTTCTATCATGGTGCCTTAACCAGTAGACCAAACTGGTTCTCATTCTGATGCTTTTCATTCCTTCCCTTTTTGCTGGAACTACCAATACATCATTGTATCTTGTGGGGGGGGATACTGAGATCTCACAGAAAAGTTTTTTTTCCAAAGGAAAGGGAGGAACACTTTTAAGAACCTCCAGCGAAATTAATTTGGTATCTCAAATGCTTTCCAGCATTTGAGGTATATTAAAGCAAAGTAAATTTTTGTGCAAATTAGTCACAGGAACAGTATTACTGTGAGAACATTACAGAGCTCAAGACAAATATGTGTGGGTTGTGGGTGTTTTGGAAATATCTAAACCAAGATAAAGGAAATGATTTTCTTGTGATCAAGAGGATGGCAATGCGAAGGACAGGTTGCTGTGATTCATTGAGCAATTATCTGTGCATTTACAGATATGGATTTGCATCTGTACAGAATCCTTCATCAAAGCTTATTAGAGCTAAGAATGTTGACAGGAAGACCCCTGCTCCTCTCTCTGCATTTCCAGAAAGGGTAAACCACCAACCATATGGCTGCAGGCCAATGAAAACAGCCATACTGGGAGGAGAACGTAGGTGGGTGTCGGCACATCAAATCTGGATTGTGGGGAGCTTTTTCCTTTAACTTTGAACAGACACTAAGTGACCGATCGTAAGTCGGGGACATTGTGTACTATGTCTCAACTATAAGGAATTCTGTGCTAGGTAAAACCCATATATGCAATGCAGAAAGAAAAAATCATGCAGGAAAAAAAGAAGATAAAAGAAACGTACTTTCAATAAATAATTATTTTGTGTGATTTTATTTTTATCTGTTTCAGAATAACCCACTAGAGGGCAGCAACCATCTGATCATTCCCCTCTTCCTTGAAGTCCTTTTAACTGTTATTTCAAAAATTATCGTCAGAGAGGAAAACCAGGTCATTTTAACAATAGTTTTAAAGATGAAAAAAGGTATGATAAGATAAAAAAATATCAGCCTCTAAAGAAGAATTATTTGTAGCTCAGGGTTGAAATGAGGGTTGAAATGAGCAATCAGCACTCAGATGAGCATAGATTAACTCAAAGATTAACATCCACTCAACAATCAAAAAGTAAACAATTCCCCAATCAAGGAACTACCAAAAAAGCCAACGGTAGTAAACCACCCAACCTAAGACTCTCCAAGACCAAGACCACGCCCACCAACACTGACACTAGGAATATAAACTGAAAACAAACCACAGTCCTTAGCAACACTAATGACATTACCTACTTTGGGAAATAAAATATTTGCAAGAAAACCAAGCTCAGATAGCACCACCCTCATATGTTCCTGTAAGAGCTGTAAATAGGGACGCGGTGGCTAAGACGCTGAGCTTGTCAATCGAAAGGTCGGCAGTTCAGCGGTTCGAATCCCTAGTGCCGCATAACAGGCTGAGCTCCCGTTACTTGTCCCAGCTTCTGCCAACCTAGCAGTTCGAAAGCACGTAAAAAAGGCAAGTCGAAAAATAGGGACCACCTTTGGTGGGAAGGTAACAGCATTCCGTGTGCCTCTGGCCAGCCACCATGACCACAGAGAAGTCTTCGGGCAATGCTGGCTCTTTGGCTTTGAAACAGAGATGAGCACTGCCCCTTAGAGTCGGGAACGACTAGCACATATGTATGAGGGAAACCTTTATCTTTACCCTTACCTAAGAGCTGTAAGTCTTCAAACATTGCTAAGCAAATGCTTTTGAAACAATAGGAGCTTTCCAAAAAGCAGCTTTCCCACCTCCCATTCATTTCAAGGGACTTTGCAGATTAGGCTTGTATTTTATAATAAAACAACATTACACCAAAAGTTACAAAACTAATGGGGGGAGGGGAGAAGAAACTACATCGCAATATAGCCATGACTAGGTAAATTTTTGTATGAACAAGAAATAGAAACAAGAGATTAAAATAATCTAATTTTTCACCCAAATGTGGCCTGGTAATAGTCAATTCACTTTTTTAGATTGACTATTAGATGAAGTTTTAATTTAGTTGCTCTGATTCCTTTCATACCGTGTTTCCCCGAAAATAAGACCCTGTCTTATATTTTTGAACCCTGAAATAAGCGCTTGGCCTTATTTTTGAGGAGATCTTATTATTTTGGGGCATGTGGAGCAACACAGGACTCCTCTTGCCATCTTACCTGATTTCCAGCTCTGTCTCCCTACCCTAAAACCAGAGGAAATGGAGGGGACCAGCTGCACATGCGCTCAAAAGCCCGATTGGGCTTATTATCTGGAGAAGTCTTATTTTTGTGGAAACAGGGTAGGTTTGTTGAAACCTGAAGTTCCTCCTCAATCTTTTCTGGGGTGTGATTTTTCACCAAGGAATGTTTTGGGTTAAATCATTCAGTTTAGTTTATTTCTTTTTCACTCCCATTTTGGCAGAAGGATGTGAATGGATGAAAACATGCTTCTATTGGAAGTTCCCTCTAAGCCCAGCTGGGAATTCACAGAGAATTCACACATTTACTCCCTATAAATGTAAATTACGATAATGGATTTAGAACACAATGACACCTACTTGCAAGGACCCTAAAACCTTGTGTCTAGCGGGCGCCTCCCATCTAAGGTATCGTGAGCAACTCTCCAAAAAGGTTTTTTTGGGTGGGGGTCCTTTTAGACTTCCCTACCCAGTGAGGTACACCAAGTGCCATTTTCATTATGACTGATGAGTGTTGGGCAGTATATAAGTATGTAATATAAAGTTAATTACAGAAATAGGAAATATTTCTATAACACAGAAGCACCTATGAGTTTAAATGAAACTTGATGATCAGGTCCGGATCAGCAATTTTTTGTGATCCTTTTCAAAGGAAGCCTGGCTATCAGCTGATTGTGAGCTAATTGTGAAAACAGGCTTACCACTATTCCAAAACAGTGCTAATCTGGAACTGTGCAACTCCACAGTTGTATAAACTTTTGCCCAAAAGGAGACTATGACCATGTTCATGAAAACCTTTGTGTCAAACAGAGCAAAAATTGATAGCCAAACAGCCAAGCTTGATGCTTGGTTCCATCCCACTTAAGGAAAATGACTTTTGGATATTTGACTTTTCCCTATAGGGAGTGGGAAGAATAAAGTCAGGATATCTATCAACCTCTATAGGGTACCTTCTATATAAAGGTCAGCATCAGACCTTTATTACTTTGCCTTTCTACATCTCTGTTCACCTAAAGACATCCCTTCCATTCACCTGATTAGGTTGATTAAAATAAGATGAAGTATATTCAGTTAAGACAGGGGTATGCAACATTAAACACTCAAAGAGCCATTTGGACCCGTTTTCCACAGGGGAAAAAAAAA